TGCACCTCGGGGGGCAGCCGGCCGGGCGCAGCGGCAACGGATCGTCGAGACCGGCCTGGCGGGCCGAAATGAAAGCCAACATGGCGGGCCGGAGCAACGATCAGACCCAAGAACGTCGCCATATTGTAAATAGAGTGGCGCTGATTGGCTCAGCGCGAAACGGCGGTGACCAATGCGCAGTGCGGTTATTGGAGAGTCGGCGGCCTGCTGGAGAGAGAGAAACATAGACTGGGGGCGCTCACAGCTGTGGGGCGCTGCCGAGACCGAAGGGGCGGGGCACGCTCCCGGCCTTCTCGGCTGAAGAGAGGGGAAAAGGGCGGGGCTGAGATGGAAGGGGCGGGGTGTACTCGCAGCGGGATCTCTTGTGGGGTTAGGCCCACGCGGAAGGGGCGGGGCTTGTGGCGGTGCCGGTCTCAGCGCCAGGCGGAGAGCGCCTGCTGCGCGGCAGGATGAGCGGGCCCTGGCGGTTCCTGCGCGCCCTGCGGCTCCGGCTCCTCGGGCCAGAGAAGCAGCACGTGGGCTGTGACCAGTTTGGAAACAAATACTACAAGATCCCCAAGCACCAGACCTGGGCTGGTAAGAGAGGGGCTGCCCCTGCCTTCTCCAGGCGGCTCGCTGGGCCCGCTTCTGGCACAGCCCTTGCCCTTCCCGTGCTCCCTGCAGTGCAGCCCAGCCCATCGGTAGCGTTTCTGCCTGCACCCGCCCGCAGCCTTACCCCCAGATCTGCCTGCCCCCAGGCGCCTCTCGTGTTCCCACTTTGCCACTGCCTGGCGTCTCTGTTCCGACCCGTCCTGCCCCACCTCCCCCCGAATTTCCACACCCTCCTCTCCTGTCCCCCGGATACCCTGCTTCCTCTGCACTGAGGCACCTCGAGGACACCTCATGTCCCTGAGCACCCTCCCCCCCCATGGTTCCCTGTGTCCTACTTCTGTACTGCACAGGTATTTATACTGCCTTATAACCTTCCAGTAGCTCATTGAGCAGCTTGACAGCACGTGTATCACATGTTTGTTTTCTCCTTTTCTCCCCAGGGAGACCTCTGTGCAGCAGAGTTGTGGTAGGAGTTCTCTTGCTGTGATAGGCGTTTTAAAGAAATACATATATGTATCGCTGTGTGTTTATATGCACAAAGGCAAAGAAATGAGCCTGACATTTGAAATAGAAAGTGCTGATGTTTGTGATGGGCTTTAATTCTCAGGCAGTTCATGCCACACCTTCGGACTGTGGAGAGTTCTGTCTCCTGCAGAAAGGAATGTTATTGTTACAGTTGAGCATTCCTTTGGGTCAGTGGAGTGAACTGGCCAGTGTGGTCTTTGTCCCCGAGCTTTAGTCTATTGTTCATATATCCTGGCCTTGGAAAACTTTGAAAATAATGACTGAAACCTTGAACTTGCCCCCTGCATACCCCTAACACATTCTCATAGCCTCCCTTTGCTTCCCTCCCAAATCCTTGATCTGTTTAGTCTCCCAGAATACCCATCCCTACGTCTCTCTGTTTTCCCCGCTTCCAGCTTGTATGGTCTATCCAATGGCCATAATTTATCCTTTGCTTTCATAGACTATTTCCTGCCCAGCTGCTTATTCTCAATGTAGACTGGGGCCCAGAAATTCCCCTGCATGTCTTTTAGGTATTTTTTTCTTTTCCCCTTTAGTTCCCTTTACGTCCACACAATCTCTATTGTTTTCTTTAGGCACCTAACCCCAAGTAATTTTATTTTCCTTCAATTTTGCCTCTATTATAAAACTTGTACTGTGATCCTTCTCAGTTCAGCTAACAGCATTTTGTGTTGAGGGCTGTTTTGATATAGACAAAAAATGAGGATGTGCCTCCAAACTAAACTTGTTTAATATCTCTGTGATATTGAATTCGGATCTTCATTTGTGGTCAAATTTGATTCTGTTCCCTGTCCTGGTGCTTTCTAAATCAAGTTGAACCTTTCTGGTCCAGCACCCTCAGAGTGGTCCTGAGCAAGGGAATTTGCCAGACCAGGGGAGGTCAGACATCCAGGTTCTCCTGGGTCTCCCCTCCTGGCTGCTGCCCTCAGAGAACTCAGAGGCCTGACCTCCTCCAGCCCAACTGCCAGGCTCTGCTGTCCCAAGTGTGCTCGCGGGGCTCTGCTCCCTGCATCCAGTCCCATGTGGGGCGGCAGCTGTTCCTGGGACTCTCTACTCCCCGGTCACTGCCCCAGCATGATGCGCCAACCAGAGCAGCTCCACTCCCAGCTACTCTCAACCTCTGCAGCTGGGGCTCTCTGATTTAGCATCATCTGTGGTCCTGCTGGACCACTAATGTTGCCAGACCAGGGAGTCCTGGACAAGAGGTTCAACTTGTACTACTCTTGTAAAATAATGATATTTTCATATGGCAGGGAAAGCATTTTGTGAACATGTTAGAAGCCTATATATGAAAGAAGAAAATGAGTGAACTAGGCTTGACAATTTAACAAGACTAATTAATATAGATAGATATTAATTAAACCCACCAATCAGGTTATCTTTACTTTATCTTACAGCTTTGTTTTAACCTCAAATCAGAACAGACTGTCTAATGAACTTATTTTTCATTCAGGAAACTTTTTAGGATATGCATGTGTCAAGTCTATTCCCTACTCTGGCACACCAAGTGCAAAAGGCGGGGGCCCATAAGAGACCTTAAAAATGCCTTGCCTCTATAGGCTTCTGCTTAAAAGCTCCCCAGGGTCACTGATTCCTTGGCCTTGGGAGGTGATTTGCCCCTACCAAGTGGAAAAACCCCTTTCCTCTTGAATCCAGGAAGAAGCACTTGGAACTTCTTCCAGAGGGGAACTCCAAGCTCTTCAAACACGAGAACTTGAATAAAAAGAGAAAACAAACGTAATCTCTGAAAACTGACCTCTCAGTTTTAGGCATACACAAACCTCCTATTACCTTCCAGGACACAAGAATCAAATCATAGCCTTAAAAAAGGTTATTTTATTAACAAAACAAAACTTGATAAAACATACTTGGTTGCTAGGTATTTTAAAGTAACTGAAAGAAAGAACACTTGGAAAACACAAAGAAATTCCATCCCTGGTTTACAGCTTAAAGTACAGCATATGAAGGGAGACAAGGGGAAGAGGCACATGGATTTAGACAGTCAGGTGATTTTCTTTGTTCTGTTGTTTGGTAAACTTCTCTGTGCTCACTAAAAAATATTCCTTATTTACTCATGTATTTGTACTTCAAGGTCCAGCCATTTTCATGTCCAGTGTTTTTTTGTAGGCATAGTAGTCCTGCTTGGTTCAATTCATCTTGTTCCCCCCAACTCCTGGCTTAAAACTCAAAGAAGAACAGCATGCATGTATATCCTCCAATTCAAATCTCAATACCTTCTCCCATTGGCTTTCCTGGCTCCCTGCTAACATCACCTCCTTACTTGAGTTTAACTGTTAGCTTTTTCTGAACATCCCAGCATCCAATGACTATCACTCCTATCCATCACCGCATGTAAGTTGGAAACTTACATGAGACTAGCCTGACTTTCTTTGGCCTATTCTCCTTAAACTATATAAACTCTTCTGTAATTGCTTCTAATAGTATCTGTCCCCATAGAATACACCCCCACTTCTCTACGGACATTAGACTGCTTTTTATATGGCACATACATACTTTAATCCAGGCAACACATGCAGATTCTTCTCATTTCTCACCAGCACATAGTTTTGGATTAAGTCTAGTTTAGAGTGTAATATAGTACTACTGGAGTGATGGAATGTTCTGTAATTATGTCAAACTAACCTTAATTGTTCCACCAGATTATCTAGTGTCCTAAACATTATTGTCTTATGTACTCTTTTAAAGTGGTATGCGCCCTATAACTAATTGTCCCTGAACATTCTCCGTAGATCATAGTTTTAGAACAATTTTATTTTTGTATGCATAAATTCCCATGCATTTAGAAGCTATTATTGCAAATAGAAAATGTCTTCAGGCTTTTAGAAGTAGAATCTTTGGAAAGACTAAAATAAACCTTTTTGACTGGAGAGGAGGAAGCAACATATAGAATGAAAAAGAATTGGACAGTGATAGGGGCTTGACCTAAAGGAAAGTAGCACTGAGACAAACATGCACTCATTTTCTGGTATTATTTATTTGCACTTCAATTATTCTTTTGTTCACAATATGTTAGGTACTGTCCAGATGAATAGTTAGCTACAGTTCTGCTTCCAAAGATTTCATAATCTAAGTCTACACTGGCAAATTACTGCACAGTAAATCAGCCTCCAGCTAAAACTTTTTGTGGAATCCACACCGGCAAGGCATTTAGTGTGTCCTACATAAACCACATCTGTGAAAAGCATAGAGCTTGCTGCACTCTGGTTAGTGTGCTGGAGTTCTAGTGTGAACACCGTAGTATAGTATTACCTTCTGACTGGCCTCTCTCCTTACCAAAATGCCTATTCTTGTCTCTTTTGTCATCTGTTTGAACTTTACTGCCCTACTCTCAGGTGTCCAACCAGACATGCTCTTGGTGTTCTTTCTGAAATATGAAAGATCTCTCTCTGTTTGCCTGGTGATGTATAGTATGTTCTCAGTGCATCTCTCTAGCTAGCCATGCCTGCTCCATGCACCAGGAGAGCCTGTGCTTGGAGCTATGCCGAGGTGCTGAACTTCATCAGCATTTGTGGACAGGAGACAGTCCCATCCTAGCTGCATTCCAGTTGCAGAAATTACAATATTTATGGGTACCTCTTGCGATGCATGTCCGAAAGGGGCCATGACTAGGATGCACTGCAGTGCATGGTTAAGTGAATGAGCTGAGACTGTCTACCGGAAAGCAAACCGCCCCGCTGGTGCTGTTCCCACTACCTGCAAGAGTTGTAGAAGCCAAGGAAGGATTAAACGTTGAGAGGAATATGACTAAAAGCAGAATTTATAAGGATTGTAGCAGTTCATTTTCCTAAAACACAAAAAATTCAAGTGTCAGATGTAACTGGGCAAAGAAAAGTCACAAATGGTATTGTTTCTCTGACTTCATGTTTCATGATCTCTAGAAAATATATTTAATTCTTCAACATTACTTTCTGTTTTCTACCAAATACGCTTGTATAATTTAAAATATACTATGTTAAACTTTTTTAAAAAGAATAGTATAAGAAAATGACAGTGATTAAATTGTACAATTTCATCATGGCCTGTCTTGAGAGGAACATCCAGCATAACTCATTAACTCTGAAATTACTCTTCAGATGCCAGTCCTAAAACTGGATGGTAACAGTGATTGATGACTAATTTTAGTATCTCAGACAAGTATTTCACTAAACAATGTAGCTTAATCTGTGTAATATATTTATTTTTTTAATTGTGTAAGCACACTGTCAGAGCATCACGATAGCTTTTCTACATGATGAATTGTTTGCTCTGCAATCTACAATGATTAACTATTCATATTTCAGCAATTGCGTAAGTTCTTCATAAAGTTTATGGATTTTATTGAAGCAGCATTTATTTCATGGTAGATAACTGATCCTATTTTCCATAGTAAAATTTGGTAAATATGAGGATTTTTAGTGGGTAGTTAAAAAGAGAAAACAATGTAAAATGCAGTAGTAGTA